TTCGTGAATTGGCTTTTGACGAAAAAAGCTGAGAAATTTTTGATTAAAAGTCGTTTGCCGCACTTGACTCGTACGGATTTCAACAACAACAGACAAATATGCTAGATAAATAAATTGAAGCGAAGAAACAGCACTCAAATGGAACGTAAAAAATTTCGGGATGTTCAAAGAGAGGCAGCACTTGACGATGATCCTCCGCTTGATGTGCACAATGTGTCCATTGTCGCACCAGAGCCACGGAACTCCACCTGGAAAACGAAAATGTAAGGTGTGAAAAACTTTGATGCCAAAACCTTCAAAAAATTTGTGCGTTTTCAAAATGCCAATAAATTCACAGAAAACCTAGCAATGTGGAAAAAATCGATGAAGATTTTCCTTCCTTTGCCGCGTTATGAAAGGTCGCGAGATCAAATAAGTGATCGAATTTTAGCCAAAGTTTGGAGTGCTCGTTCGAGTGCTGTTTACAGAACCCATGCGAGTTAGAAAAACCGAATAATTCAGATTTTTAATCCTCCGTGCAAAGACGTGCAATCTTTCTTCGTTGCAACGATTTTTTTCCTTTTTATAATCGGTTCCTCGCGAATTTTTTGGGATACGCAGTTTGAAAACATTCATTACAGAATGATCGTAAGACAACCCAAAAAAGTTTGGGTTTTGCAGGATTTAAAGCATTGTTGCGTAGCGTGATTATGAAATACTCGGTAAACAAATGCTAATCATCAGAACCGTTGAGCGGAAAAATTGTTATGTGATAGCAAAATTTGTTCCGTCTACTTACGCTCTGCATTAAGTTGTCTACACGCGTCCCAACATTGCTTTGAGAACAGCTACAAGTAATTTTAATAGCAGTAAAATAAGGACAAAACTAGTATTTCTCGGTTTGCTTACAACTACCCCTACTTCTAAAACATATGAATACTTTCCAGAAGGTCCGATTTGAATCCTTATAGTTCAGATTTGCACAATCTAGTTGACGGTACCTATTATGTAAGTGAACAAAAAAATTGTAGAAGATTAAACTTGAGGCTTTTCAAGCGAATTGATGAACACAGGTGGGTA